CACCCTCCGTCCCCCAGGCGCGCCATCCACCCCAGGTGGTGCGCCTGGCTCTGCTGTTGGCGTGTCCCGTAGTCTGGTCAACCTGGCTGTGCACCGGTAAGGTGCGTTCTCGCGGGCGCGTCATCCACCACAGGTGATGCGCCCCCCCTGCCCTAGGCGCGTCATCCACCCCAGGCGAAGAGCCTTCCGCCCGTGTGGGCCTTCCAGCGGTATCCACCACGGTTATGTGCGTCTCACTCTGCGCGCCATCCACCCCAAGTGGTGCGCCCGCTTCCGCCCTGCGGGCGCGGCATCCACCCGGGGTGCCGCGGTGCCGCGCCCTGCGCTGGCCCTGGCCAGTTTGGCGCACACGCCACCCCACTGGCCATGGGCCCACGGCTGAGGCCCAGCCCGGCTCGGGGTCACCTGTCAACACAATGGCCGCGGGCTCCTGGCCTCTGCCCGCAGCGCGACAACCGTTCTCGGTTGCGCGCTCCCCTCCCCACGCCACCCGTCGCTGGGGCGCCGCGATGCGCGCTCCGCCGCGGGCCCTACTAGCCCCAGCCCGTTTGGCGCACACGCGGCCCCACTGGCCATGGGCCCTGCAGGATGGCTACCGCCCCGCCCCTGCCGACAATTCCCGCTGCCCCACCTTGGGGGGCACCGCCATTGCGCCGCCCTCCCCCTTTTTGCCTCCAGTCTGTCCGCCGGTAGCCCGCGCCCAGCTTCCGCTTCCGCTGGGCGCCGCCCGGCCCCTTGCTGTGATGCGCGCGCCAGCCCTGTTGGGCTCGGCCCGCTGCCTCGTTACCCTCACCACCACCGCCCCTGGCCTTTTGCATGGCCTCCACGCGCCGCTCTGCGGAAGCTGGGCGCCTGGCACTCCCCCGCCGCTCCGCTCTGCCTAGCCTCTTCCCCGGCTCTCGCCGCCTCGTCCCTTCCCTCCCGCCCGCGCCGCGGTCGCGCTTCGCCTCCGCCGCGATGCACCAGCGCAGGGCCGCACGCCCAGCCCACCGCACCCGACCCGCGCAGCCACAACCTGCCCTCCCCCACCGCCGCGCCCCCAGCTCGCCGCCCTGGCGGCCCGCCGCTCCCGCAGCTCACCCACTTGCTGGGCCCCGCCCTGCACTGCGGCCGCCGGCTCAGGCTGCCATGCGGCCCGGCCATCCCGCGCGCTCCCTCTGCGGCCTCGCCGCGTGAGTGCGCTCTCTGTTCTTGCCTCCTGTCACTGCGGCCGCCTCTCTTCTGGTCCCCTCCCCTCGAAAGCGAAACAAGTCGTAATGCCGTGGCCGGGGTTGCTTGGACGCGCGAGCGGATTGCCTCTGCTGCGCTGCGACGGAAAATTGCGCCAGGGCGCGGCCTAAGGTGACGCCCCCTACGTCCTCCGCCCCCCCCCACTGTCAGCCTCCTGCCCTCTATTGCCCCCATTCCTCGAGGAGGAGATCGGTGTCAGAATTGATTTGCCATCAGTATGGATTCCTCCGCAAAGCCGAAGCAACATGCGTATGATGCTCGTAGATCTACAAAACATATCAGAACTTGTTCGCAGAATGGAAGAACAAAGCAACTTTGGGGGCCCCTCAGTTCTGCAATCGATCTCCTACGGCAGGTTCGTGTCGTACCAACCCCAGCGTTGGTTTTTGACACCGCAGGGATCGTTCAACCTTGAACGATCGGCCGCTGCCGCAACGTCCGATCGTTCAACATCGATCGATTCTGGGTCGCCGGCGGCGTTCAACCTTGAACGCCCGCGCTGGGGTCGCCGCCGGTCGACACGACGCAAACCTACCGTACTCGAGTTCCCCCTGCCGACCGCGGAGCCCGCCCGCGCCCCGGAGGCCACCCGCGCCACAGCCCGCCTGCTCCTGGCCCGCGGAGCCGCGGCCGCGCCCGCCCGCCCGCTGCAAGGAAAGGCGGCCCGGAGGGCCCCCCACTCCTCCTCCTCCTCCTCCTCCTCCTCCTCCTCCTCCTCCTCCTCCTCCTCAGCTGCCATCTGGGCCTAAGATATTGTCAGGGCAGCCCAGACCGCCACCATGCGATTCCTCGGACCGAGCAGACAGAAGGGGCGGCGGCCCGCATGATGGCAGCACTCACAGCCTCTCTCGCTGTGCTCCTCTTCAGCCAGCTCTCGGCAAAGCCCGACAGGTTCGCGGTGAGATACGAGGAGGACAACAATATTGACATCATCGCGGGGACATCACGCAGACGACACGTCATTACGCAGCACCGCCGCGGCAACACAAGATACTACTACGACGCGGGCTGGCAACCAAGAGAAGAGATCAACCGCAGCACGGGCACCATCATCGACATCCAGGAGCCGCAGCTCAGTGGAAGAAGTCTCGCGATCACCCTGCATCACGACCAGACGCTGCTGATCATAGGATACTACAGACCGCCACAGTACTACGCTAAGACGAGCAGATGGTTCAACTGGATAGACGAAACCAGCAGACAAAAGCATAATCGTTGCGGGCGACCTCAACGATGGCAACGGCATCACACAGAAAGGAGGACGACCAGAAACACCAGCGCTCGAAGAAGGCGGATCGCCCGAACGACTACCAGACGGTGCTGGACAGAAGGCTCGCAACTACGCCGACCGCCATTTCGGAGAGAAGAACGCGAGGTACATCATGATACCGAGGAGCATGACCGAGACAAGGATATCTCAAGGACCCCTGCCAACACGCTGCCGATCCAGACGAGACGTACCAGTGCAAGTGACCTTGCTACGACAACAAATACGACAGCGACCTCAACCAACGAGACGGGACAAGGACAGCCTCGCGCTCGCAGCACGACACGGACGACACAGAGGAGAAGTCATCGAGAAGGTAGAGCAGAGGATAGCGGACCCAGCAGGAACGGGAGTCGATCAGCTCTTCACGGACAACAACACCATCCTCGTAGAGACAGCGCAGAAGAACTACTACCAGGCGCCGAAACCGACGGACTACTGCAAGAGGCTCACGAATTACACTAAGAGGCTAATCGCACGCCTGCGGCCGAATCGTCGCCTCCCCCGTTTTGCACGGACGAGCTCGAACCCAGGGACCTTCCAGGGACGGCCGTTGACCCACCCAGGTCCCAGGAAGAGACAGAGCTGGAGGGCAATCCACACGCCACAGACAAACAGCCGATCACGGAGATGCGCGAGATCGAGAAAAAACTGCACGACATCACGAAGACACGCCAACGGCAACGACGACGCGCACAACGACAACGCACAGAGCAAGGAGTCGAAGAACTATCACGAGCAGGAGGAAGATACGAACCACGCAAGAGGGACTTCTGGACGGTCACTACGGCAAACTTCGCGAAGCAGGAATGGCTTGATGTTTGGCGACTGACAGGAGGATCAGACGGCATGGAAGGCACCGAGCAGGATACCCAGCACCTGGAGGCCATCCCACACAACGCCGAGGAGAAGGAATAGTACGAGAACGACTTGGAGGAAGAGATAGAGGAAGACTACAACGAGATCGCAAAATGCCGCAAACGAGCACGCCTACGACGAGCAGCACCACCAACGGCGGCACCAACGGAGATATGGCGACTACTACTACGCCCACCGAAAGCAGAACACCAACCACGCCAACGACACGGCCTGGGACTTCTAGCAGAAGACGGAGAACACTTACAAAAGTTACCGAAGGCCGCCTTACGAACAACGAGTGCATCAATTGCTACCAGTGCTTCACGAGCCGAAGAACAACGCAAGCTACAACTACGCGTCCACCACGCAGGACATGTCCAATGCGTTCGCCAGCTGCAAGTGGCTTACCACGGACGCGACCAACGGCAACATCACGCAGGATCACTGGGACCACGGAGAACAACGATACCACAGGGCGACGTTCAACATCGAGTGCAGAGACAGCCTGGAAACACCTGGCCAGGAGCTGGGAGAACAAGTGGACACGGCCTCGCTCAACAGCCCCCACACCCGCGTGAGGACCGAAGTGGCGAACTACACGGGGAGCACGTTCGACGCAGGAGTGGAGCGCGACTACCTCGAGAAATACTACAAGGACGTCATATTGAGAGGCAGGGCAGAGAAGATAGCAGACAGCATCCCAATCTTCCTCGCACGCAAGAAGAAGGGCAAGGGAGGGGCATCACGGAGAAGTGCAGGCTTCAGTTCCAGGCGAAGTCAACGGACACGCAGCTGGAGACGACCCGCAAGATCGGGGCGGTGCCGCGCGGAGAACGAGAACTGGGACGTCTCGCCAGAACGACACGGAGAGAGGAGCAGCACAATATGAGGTGCCTGAGCGGACGGCGCGGCCCTGTCCTGTCCCAGCGAGCGCGGCCCCTCAGGCCACCCCGTTTTTTTCCGCACCAGCGCACGTTTCCTCCTCCTCCGCCTCCGACCGAGACCTTCCCCAACTCCGAGGCCCGAGCTTCCCTGACTAATTTGTCGTGCACCGACCTCCCCCGCCCCCACCCGAAGGGCAGAGGTAGACGGGGCGTAGAGGAACCAGCGAGAGGGCACCCGAAATAGCGGGTGCTACCCTGCCCGCAGACCCCTGCGTGGGGGAGGACGGTGCAGGTAGGGCCCGAGCGTCTCAGTGGCGCCCGCGACCCCCTTTCAGAAAAGCGACCTCAGCTAGGCCACACAACTTTATTAAGCAGCACAGCGCGCAGCGAGAGTGCAGCACCGAACCGGCCCGAGAGCTCGATCGATCGATCCTCCTCCTCCTCCTCCTCCTCCTCCTCCTCCTCCTCCTCCTTCCTCTTTCCTCTGCTCGCCTCTCTCTCTCTCTCTCCCCCTTCCCCCGGCTGCTCCCGGCAACTCTGCTGCAGCTGCTGCTCCCCGTGCTGCCCTGGCTTTCCTGGTGCCTTGCGTACTCGGGCCTCTCACGTTCCCCCCCCCCCCCTCCCCCCCCTTCCCCCCTTGTTGCTCCCCGGTCGCCCCCTCCTCGGCTGCCTCTCCCTCGGTGGCAGCTCGGCGCAGACAGCTCGATCAATCAGCTCGGGGCCAGGGGGCATTGCAGCAGAGGGGGCGGCGAGGCTGACGCCTGGCCGCTCGCCGAGTGCCTTCCCGTTCGACTCCCCCTCCAGGTCCCGCACGAACGTGATCATGAAGCTGGCAGCCGTGAGATGGTGGAGCCGAAGGGAGGTGACATGGAAGGAGGGTGGGGAGATGTGGGGAGGAGGAAATGGGGACGGGCAGAGGTGGGCAGATGGGAAACAGCACGAAATTGCGAACACCTCGTTCCTGTGCCGCCGCGCCCGTCCGTCGAACTCATTCTCCCCTTGCCCTAAATTGTTCGCTGGCCTGGTGACGCCCAAACCGCAGCATTCGAGTCGAATCCAACCGTCGCGGCAAGATCGCCCCGAGAATCAAACAACAGAGCCAAGTGCGACTACAGACACATGGAACCTTCCACTTCTTCCTATCATGCGATGCCGCCTGTCGTCGTCTGCTCCGGCTGGGCATGGCACCACGCACTCCTCGCCAAGGGTCTGGACCAATCCTGCGAAGGGGGAGTTCACCACACCCTGGAGGTCAGGCATATCAAAAGGGTGAGGTAGGAGAAAAGAGGGACAGCGAGACGCGCGAGGCAAATTGGAGATGGGAAGGGTCAATGGGGGATGGGATTGCACCATGGACGGATTTGTCGCGCCATGAAAGAATTGTCTCGTGTCTGTACTTAGCAACTGGGTCTGAGGAGCGCATGTGAAACTTCGCCACCTGCCAGCATGCAAGCAGGAGGCCCGGGGCCTGCCGCGACGCTCCGCAAAACACGGCACGGCCCAAGCTGCTCTCGAAAACTCCCAAGTGAGCGTTTTTCTTTTTGGCGTTTCGACGTTGGGCGGAAAGGGATGGGGGGGGGGGGGTCTGGCTCTGGACCTCTGCTTAGTGCGACTGTTTGCAAAGAGTGCTGCCCCTGGGGGAGACTCCACCCTCAGGAAACAGGCGCCAAAAAACAGCCAAGATCCACTCCATGGGGGGGGGGGGAGGGGGGGGCTCGGGTGGCCCGCGCCGATCGGCAAAGCAATGAATAACAAAAACGATCACGAAGTGTCGCGGCCCTGCTCGGGCCTCGGCCGCTGAGGCTGCCCCGCCTCGTACGAGCCAGAACTGACCCGACGGCACCGCGGCTGCTGAAGGGGGCCGCGCCCCGCGCGCGCGCAACGAGCCTGCGCCCCGACGGCCGCAAACACCTGGGCGTCGCGGCCTCCCTCGGGGGTTGCCAGAGGTGCCCCTGGCTCAAGGTGCCCCCAGCTTCTCGTTCAGTTTTGGAGATCCTGGGGCCCTCTGGGCCTCGTGAGGGGTGCTTTGGATGCCGTGGAAGCCTCCTTGGATTTCCAGGGGGCACCTTGGGCCAAGGGCACTTCTGGCAACACCCGACTCTCCGAGAGAGGGGCGGGCTGACCGGAGGGGAAAGGCTCCGGAGGCGTGGACTTCTGCGGCGCGCCCCGCACGCGAGCTGGCGAGATGCCGCGGCTGCGTCGTTCGGCCAGTGCCCTCCCCCGGCGAGTTCGCAGGGCGTCACCGCGCGCCGCATTCGCGCAAGCCGTCCGCCACAGCTGGTGGCCGCGGCTGGTGACCCGAGGGGCTAGGAGCCACGCTGCCGCATGTCCGACGCAACTCTCGTGCTCGGACTATGGTGAATCAGGTCAGCAGCGCGCCTGGGGGAAGGGCGGTCCCCAACGCCAGGCCTGGGCTGTAGGAGGCGAAATGGTTTCGAACGCAACGACACTCTACGAGTGGTCATCCAGCCGGTGCTGATTGTCTCCGAGTCGCACGTCGGACCATACCAATCCTGCCTGCGCGACAGTGCTGCGGCTAAAGAGCTGTCAGCGATCTCTTGCTATTAGCATGTTGTCCCCATGCTCCTTGTCGCCTGCACGAGCCTCTGACTACTTGAACATTCAAGAGACCCACGCACAATCATATATCTCTACCCCTTTGCTTGCTACGCCTCCGCGGAAGGCCATCATGCCTTCCTCTTCTTCTGGTTTGTGCAAGCTCTCCGAAAGGGACTTTAGTTCTACCGCAGCAGCGAGCATGATGACTCCATCCTGGAGCTTTGTATAGCACCACAGTGCAACTGCGCCGAAGCGTGAGATAACGAAGCGGATGGTGGCCGCCAAATCGCACGAATCTGTCACGACGTGGGGAAGAAATATCGAGGCGACCCGTGTCAACAAAGGCGTGAGGTCTGCACGACACGCGACATCCAAACAGTTTCCAAGAATAGGAAAACGATGAGAGGGAAAAACAGCAGGGCGAGAGTACGTGAGCGCGGGATCCATCAGAGAGCCGAGCGGTACCAGATGCGGGCTTGTGTGCGATAGCTTGGAGGGTTAAATTCTTGATGCAATCAGCCCCAGTTGTGACAGGAACAAAGCACGTCTTTACCACAGGTGGGATGAGATCCTGTGTGGGGGCCCAAAGAGGAAGCAACCATACAGGTGTACATAGATACACCTAAAGACTATGATATACTAACACCTACGGGTTCTTACTCCTGTCCCTCAAGAAATTGGTCGGGCCCGCCAGGAATCTTCCACGTTGCCACCCCGTGCCGCCTCGTAGGCGCTCGTGGACGCTCCGCGCGCTGGATGGGTCCGCCGAGATCGCGCCACGCTGCCGCCCGTGCCGCCTCGCTGGCGCTTGTGGGCGCCCCGTGCGCTGTCTGGGTCCGCGGGAGATCGCGCCGCGCTGCCGCCCCGTGCCGCCCCGCGGGGGCGCTCGGCGCCCTGTGCGCTGGCCGGGCAAGCCGGGGACTCGCGCCACGCTGCCGCCCGTGCCGCCCGTGCCGCCCCGTGGGGCGGCTCGTGGGCGCACCGTGTGCTGGGCGGGTCTGCCGGCTGCGCGCCACGTCGCCGCCCGTGCCGCCTCGTGGGCGCCCCGTGCGGCGGGCTTGCACCACGGAGCTCGCTCCCGCCACAGCATACCCGGCACAGCTGCACCAGAGCACCACGCATGTCCTACGCCGTCCTACGCCGCACAGGTTGCAGCACGCATCTCGCACAACCTCGCTCACATCACACAATTGCCACTTCGAGTCTTCACCGCATAGTTTACATCACATTAGCGTACAACTCATAGCCTGCAGTACCACACCTCACGCCACGCAGTTTTCACAACACAGCGTGCACCGCAGAGATTCTCCTTCAACGCCACCAGTGGGATAGTATTATTTACGTATGATGTTGCCCCATCGCTCATGTTGCGTATGAAAACACCATGCCGCTGAATACCCTTTTTGCCGCCACCCATCCTTGTTAAGTAACACGATGCGCGCACACGCAGCCATAAATAATCAGTGTTCAACGGCCCTGTGGAAAACATGGCGAAGTCCACGCGGGCGCGTAGTCGCGCGCGCATGTCGGAATCCGTACAAGACCTTGGATTTTCGTGCGGAATTCAATATCGAAGTGCCCGAAGCCATTTGACACACAACAATTTGTCCAATCAGCGGTGTCCAACAATCTGCGTGCGGGCTCTTGCGAGCCCCTGCGAAAATTCAGATATTCCAGCACTTTCCTCAAAAGAGACTGGGATCCCCCCTTCGCGCGCATCTCGAAATCATTCAAACGCTGTTGCGCGATTGCCAGGGGGGGGGGGGCACGATCCCTCACATACCCCGTGCGGGCCACTCGCGTGCGTCGGCCGCGCGCGCATGTCGAAATTCTTCCCAAACCTTTTTTAGCAACGACGCGTGGACATTCTAATCTTCATCGACGTGGCCAACATCGGCGCCGCCATAGCCCTTGCCGCAGCTACTCTCAGCATCGCTTCCGATATTGTCAACGTCGTCATGATGCCGCCCCCCGAATCACCGACCCGCACTGAAGTGTCCGCGCGCCAGCGCGGCCTGTGCGACGCGGCGGGGTCCCCATCGGCCAGCGCCACAGCGGCCGCGTCGGCTGTGCCAAACTAGCTGGGCGTTCTGCGCGCGAGCTTGCGCGCGCTAGCGCGACCGCAGCAATGCGCCCGTCAGTGCCAAGCAGTCATCGTAATCGCCGCCGCATGCGTTTTGCAAACCAAATTGCGGGTGGGAGGCTGGCGTGTCTGCGCGAGCAGTGAAGTTCACAATTCCAAGCTCTTCGACGTTACTTACACTATCTTGCACCTCATATCTTCTCCGATCGTGCACCAACTAACTGGTTGGGGTCCACACTGGCTAAGACACACATATATATATATATGTTTGTATTCAACTGTTGGATGTACGCGTATGTCTGTACAGTAAAACCTTCACCACGTATGTATATACACATACATACTTACTTACTTACATACATACATACATACGTACGTACATACATACATACATACATGTGTACACATGCAAGCCCCCTCCAAACCGAACGCGTCCCGCAATTCGATGCATCGCCTGTCTGGCCCCTCATCGATCACCTGTCGAATTCTGGTGCGAGCCTTGCCAAAGGTGCTGGCACATGTTATGCACGAGACGCCCAACACCACCAACGTAATCCCACCAGCCCTTTTGGGCCAAGTTGGTCTAGTGAGTTCTTTCTCTCCTCTTCCAAAAGCCCTTCTCCCTACAGGGAGGGGGCCCCACGGGCCCCAGAGTTTTCGTTGGGGGGTCGCGGGGTGATCGGACATCCAAGATGGTTCAAAATGGCTCCAAGAGGGCCTCTGATTCTCCAAGATGGCCTCCACAACGGCTCCCGAAGGCCGACGATGGTTCAAAATAGTTTCCGACATGGCTACATAGAGGCCAACATCCTGCAAGCACCTGAAAGAAATCCATGAGTTTTGCCTTCTCGCCTTTTCGCGTCCGATGCGATTTTGATGACTCAAGATTGCCCCAAGATGGCCCAAGGGAGCCTCAAGAAGGGCCTTAAGGTCCCAAAACGGCCCCAAGAGCGCCCAATATCGGCGCAAAAACGTCCCACGAGGAACCCGAGAGGCGATGGTGATGGCTTAGTGGGCCACGGAAACGGCAAAGCCATTTGTTTACAATTTGACCACGATGGAAACCACCGCAACCGCAAGTTCACAAAAAGATTCCAGGACGGGCGCAATCCCAAATTTACATGGCAGCGTTTCGCACTTGCACTCACGGTTCACTCTGCACTGCGCGCAGCGCATGCAATTACACGCGCCTTCGCCTTGCAAACATCACCCCAGGAACCATCTTAATAACACCAAAGGTGACCTGTGGGACCTGCGGGACCTGTGGAACCTGCCGGAATTGGGAGAAATGTTGGGAGCGTGAGCCCTGTGGAACTTGTGGGAGCTGTGCGGGCTGCGGTAGCTGTGGGACCTGAGGGACCTGCGAGACCTGTGGGACCCTTGGGACCTGTGGGACGCGTGGGCCTGGTGGGACCTGTGGGGCCTTCGAAATTGCAAAACTTGTCGTCCCTGCGAGACCTGTGGGACCTGTGGGACCTGCGGGGCTTGCGCCACCTGCGACACCTGCCTGACCTGTCGGACCTGTAGGACCTGAGGGACTCGTAGGACCTGTGGGACCTGCAGGACCTGCGATACCAG